GACTGTTTAACTGAACTGACCTCTTCTCAGTACTAAAAAACTTACTGAAAACAGATATAAGAGGATCTATTTAAATGTGCTTTTTTTCTATTATTCCAAATTTGTTTTTCCATTCCTTTTTCTATCTGTATTTCAATACCTCTAACCCAAATCTCTCCAAAGCTATCAGCTTGGCTTTTTGTATGTGACACTTGTTTAAAGTTTCAAAGTGGTGACTGAAGAAAATCAAAATATTTTACCACTAAATACATTTCTTTGACACATTTCAAAATGGCTGCTGCTTGGCCAGTAGGCGGAAGTGGCGTTGCAAAGCTGTCTTAAGTGGGGAAAATTTGCATCAGTGGAGAATGTCCATTAATGCACCCATGCCCCACTCCCCTACATATGCCCTTCCTTAGATGCAGGAGAGATTGAGAATCTGACAACTTTAAAGATGTGAAAAGAAACATTTACCATCAATTCACGTTAAGGGGTGTTCGTTCCATTTACATAAAGAGGCCACCTTTGCTAGCCAAGCTGCTTCTTTCTGTCTCTCTTAACCCGTGTTGCAACTAAACCTAATTTACCTGTTTCTGACCATGCACTGAGTCTGCATTCTTTACTGTGGTCTCAGAGAATATATGAGTTTCTGTAAATCATTCGGAAGTTGGTCTTCATCCTGAAGTTTCTTGTGTATATAAGTTAACAAATCAATATGCCTTTTCTCCTGTTAATCATGCCAAGAGCCTCCTAAAGTGTGGCCCCCATACAAGCTATACATTGTTTGGCCCCAAAATGGTGGGACATGTCAAAGTGGGGGAGCTACAAATCATAGGTGGATTCAGAGATTTTCTTATTGGAAATTGATTGAAAGAGTTAAGCCTTGTCTAAAGGCTTGCAGTCAGAAGGAAGAAATGCTTGTGTTAAGATAAGGTGAGTTGTAGAAGCCATGGTTCTTTTTATGTAAATGAAACCTCCAGGTAGCAGCCTTACAGTAGAAGATAAAAGATGGTAAATGTCTCTTTTCAGACCTTAAAGGTGTCAGGCTCTTATTTAATCTCTCCCAGATTTGGAAAAGGCCTGGAAAGGGAAGGAGATTGTCTACAGATACAAATTTTTCCACTGAAGGTAGCTTTGAAGTCCATTTCAAAATATGTCAAAGAAGTATATTTTGGAGTAAAATATGTTGATATTTTTCAGGGTCTGCTACCTGTCATGTGATGCTATACTAGAGTGATACTGGAATTTGGTATATTATTGCCGCAAAGAGTCCTTTTTGCCCGTCTTATGATCTCTGTTTCAATGTTAATGATTGAACAGTTGTGCCTAAATTCCAAAAGGGAGGGGGTGTAATGAGGCCTGTCCAACTTTCCTTCTCATTATGTACTGGAATTTCGCTTTTCAGGTTTATCTGGGGTCTCCTTGGCCAGGAGGGAATCTGTTCAGTCTGTTGGGGGGCCTCGGATTTTATTTTTGGTTTACACCTCAAGTTGAAAGTACACTGCAAGTTACTTACCAAGCTCTGCTGACTTCAGTCAGAAATGTGGAACCGGATAAATGCAATCCTTTCACTTCCTAGGCCTGCAGAAGAAATGCTCTCCCTTCCAAAGTCTGTGGAGGAAGTGCTCCCACTTCTGAAGTCTGAAATTGAAGTGATGTCTTTAGATTTGCAACTGGTCCCATCTCCAGATTCTCATTAGAATCATCCCAGGAATCTCTGGGAAATGTAGCTGCAGGGCTGCAGGTTGCTGCTGTGGATCTCTTATTCAAATTTTTTAATTGAAAAAGTGTGAAGAGTTCTGTTATGTGATGATCTCCATGATATATGCTGGAAGGGCTGTGCCCTTTCATTTCACCTGGTTTCTGCTCTCTGGGAGCCTAATGCCAGACTTCCCATGTGTGATGTGGAAGGTGAGAGCTTGGGAAAAGTCCAGGAAAAGCAGAACCATTAACCTAGAGGAGGCAGAAGAGGAAGATGGAAGGTTTAGTCACATTCTGGGTTTATGGCATACTTTCTCAATCAATTTCTAAAGGCCTCTATGTTTTTTTCTTCCCTTTATCTCTATTCCTTACTCCCACTCACCTCTCTACTCAAAGGTACCATGTAATGTGTCTGAAATAACTGCATGCATGATATGAGTATGACATGTTTTATGATTTTCATTTCTGCTTGTGTTTTTTTTTACATTAATGGCATTGATCCATAACTCTTTCTGTTTTGTATGCATTTCCCTCTAATGTAAATATATATAAATAGCATAATATTTATAATATTACATAATATTTAATGGACACATAATAATTGGACATATTGATGGGGTGCAATATGATGTTCTGATATATGTACACATTGTATCATGATGAAATCATGGTAATTAGCATATTTCGCACCATAAACGTTTATCATTTGTTGCAAGAACATTCAAAATCCTTCCTTCCAGCTCTTTGCAATACGCAACACATTATTTTTAGCTGTAGTCACCCTATTGGGCAGTGGAGTACCAGAACTTATTCTTCCTATGTGACTGTAACATTGTGCTTGTTGCTCAGCCTCTTTCCATCTCCCCCACTCCCTTTTCTCCCTAGTCTGTGGTAATCACTATTCTACTCTTAACTTCTTTGATATGTTTTCTTCTGATTCCATATATGAGTGAACTTGACAGTTTTCATGATACAATTGTTACCTTGTGCTGTGCCTTCAGCACCTACTGTTCCAGCACATGCCTCTGGTGTCCTGCATGAACTTGGCACTCTCTGTGGGAAGCCTTTTCTTTTTCTTTTGGCCTGTGCTTGGGCAGGTAAACGGATCTGCAAATTAAATCTGCTGGGTACTACCACTCAGCCCAGATGATGGGAACTGGAGACTAAATATCCTTGTGTTCTACATGCTAAGGTGGGATTACTCTTAGGCATGTACAAAACTGCCTCCTTATGCTGTCTAGTGGAATTATGCTCCCTTTCTTCACAGGCAGCCTGCCAACAACACACCTTTTTATTGATTCTCAAGGTGTCCTGGGTTCACTGTTCCACTCCTGCACTGGTGATTCTTTAAATCATCTTCTAAATCAAAATAAGCCACTGGAATACAAATCCTTGTCTTGGGCCTGCTTTTAAAGAAACCCAACCTAAGTCTCTTTAACTTACCAGTTCCACTTGTGAAGGACATTTGATTGCCTCCTCCTCCTGGTTATTATCAACACTGATGTGATGAATGCCTTTCTAGACATCCCCTGTAGATTAGCAGAGCATCACTGGGATATACATATTAGGAAAGGGATCTGTGGAGGGGCAGATCATAGATGTACTTTATTTTTCTTTTGGCACTGCCAGATTTCTTTCCTTTTGTGTAGAAGAATTCCTACTTTCCTCATATCCTGATTGACACTTGGTGTTAGTCACCTTCAAATGTTTGACAGTTTTATGTATCTAAGATGATAGCTCAGGGTTCTTTTCATTTTCACTTCTCTGATTCCCAGTGAATAGGGGTGAATAGGTTCTTCACATACCTATTGACCCTTCACATTTCCATTTGTGAGTTAAATGGCAAGGTTTTAAGAAAGAACTCCTTCTGCCAAATTAGTCAGGACACACAGATGAAGAGAGATGGATTAAAATTCAGATCTTGCTAGAAAATCTTTGGCCAAGGTGGGGATGAGACAGGGGCAGAAGAAATAATTCCAGCATGTAGGATTGTGATCTGGACCATTTTTGACAGTGTATGGGAGAGGGATTTTCAATGGATTATGGTCATTTTTCTCCTTGATTGTTGGAAACTTGATGCCTGTAATTAAGATGTTACAATACAGATTAGCACATGTATAATTCTGAGATTGCGTCTATTATTGCCAAAGTGACAGAGATCCTTGTGGATGTCTAGTAAGCACTGTCATGGAAAAACCATGAGATTAGGAGACTTACGGCTAAAAGAGAGTAAGACCAGGGTCCAGAATCCTGGTGTCCAAGGGCCAGAACACTTGAGATTGTAGGGTTGGGGTGTCAGTGGGTTGAGAATACCCTACAGCCTCCAGCAGGGTGGTCATCCAGACTTTCAAGCCGAAGTCTGACCCCATCAAGGTTTTACATGTGGAAGGAAAGCCAAACTGGGGAATATCTGAACTGTCACTGAGCACTCCCTTACCATACAAGCAAGAGATACAGCAACAAACTGGGGTAATAATCGTGATACCGAAAAGAAAGGCTCCCTCTTCACTGTGACACACGCAAGCTGAAAGCGTGCTGTTTGTGTTTCAGAAACACTTAAACTGTCAGAGCTAGTTATGTCTTGTTTAAAGCTTCTAACATGTGCTATCTCACTTTTATGTCAAAATTCTATGTTTAGTAATTAATTCTTGGTCCACAAAGAGCAGAGAGTGGCACTGATGACATACTCCCAAAATTTTATCATTTTTTGCTCTTAACTGTAAGTTATTGAATTTCCCGATTTTGTTTTTTATTTCTGAACATAAATGAATAATAAAGGTATATACAACTAAAAAACAAAAACAAACCAAAAACCTCCTTTATTTGTGCAAAGGCACAAAGAAAGGGGTAAAACCTCTCCCTTTCCTGAATGTCCCTGAAGAAGGATTCTATGAGAGCACTGGCTCCAAAGTGAAATTTTTTTGTTTAATATATTTGTTTTAAAATCTGTTTACCAGGACTTCTGGTTTTTACTCCAACAAGTAAAGTTTGGGGTTATCCCTTCCATCTTCTTACCAAGGGAAAAACCGAATAAACTGAAACAAACAGTCTTCTGAAATCCATCATAGAATTGAGGTCACAGGAAAACTGCTGGCCTGAAAAAAGGAGAGACAGACAGGTAAAATACAGAGAGTGACAGTTTATCCTCAATCTTAGGGACTAAAGCTCAGGATTAGAAGACTACAGCTGAAGCCAGAATTTTTAGGAACATGTAACTCAATTCATGAAAACCTGAGTCTCAGTGTAGATAAGCTTGAGAGTTTAAAACTCTTAGGGATTCAGTCTCAGGGGGTCTTTACACTTTTGTGTTTTACCTCCAGGAGACCCACCAAGTTCTTACTGTGAAAATTGGAGTATAATCCCTTCATGTTTCTGGCAGAGGGAGGATAAAAATAACTACTGTAACGTAAGCCCAGAGCAGCTTGCCTTTACCCTCTCCTTCAAGGGAAATTACAAGAGCCTAACTAATGTGAGGTAAGAAAAACATTCAATCCATTCAACTCCATCCCCCTCTAGCTTTCCTGCTTCACTTAAGTGGGGAAAAGCTGAGAAGCACTTTCAAAGGTCATAGCCCAGGACACAGGCTCAGTGGAAGATAGCGACCCAATCGTAGGACTATAGAATGCTCTTTTCCCCATACCTTACAACCACATCAACAGGACTACTGTAAATAATGGAGAATTACAATTGAAAAATTGAAAGTTTCAGAATTTATTTAAGAATGAGTTCGTAGAGAAACCTGAAAACACAAGGGGTGACACAAAGACACTAAGCGAAATTGAAGCCTCAGACACCTGTAGGTACAAGAAACAGTAAGCACAGTATAATTCCTAGCCAGATAAACATAACCGTCGCACTAAACGCCAACCTATGTCAGTACATGTAACCCAAGACGTAATATCCAACTTCTAACATAAAATGACATGAAATGCTAAAATATAAGAACAGACAAGTTGAAACTAAGTATCATAATCTAATTCAGATATGGCAGAGATTTGAGGATTATCCTACCAGGAGTTTAAAATAACAATGATTAATATGCCCAGGTCTCTAGTGGAAAAGTGGACAACATGCAAAATAGATGAATAATATAAGCATTTAGGTTAAAACTTAAAGAAGAAATCAAAAGTCAGTGTTAGAAATAAAAAACACTGTAATGGAAATAAAGAATGCTTCAGATGGGCTCACCATCATATTATACATGGACAAGGAAAGATTCAGTGACATTGAAGATATGTCAATAGAAAGTTCCCAAACTGAAATTCAAAGAGAGAGAAAAAAACCAGAGTATGCATGAACTGTGAAGTGATTTTAAGAGGTGAATATGTATACATATATATGTGTGTATATATGTATATGCATGTGTGTGTGTGTGTATATGTGTGTGTGTATATATACACACATATATGCACATACATATGTGTGTATGCATGTGTATATATATGTGTGTGTATATATTTACACACACACACGCACGCACACATGTTGCGAGACTTTTCCTTAGTTCCTTAGTTCACTAAAGATAGGATCCTTGATCCATGGCCATGAAAATTTAGGCTCCTAGATGGTTTGAAGGGTGAGCAAAGCAGGGTTTTATTGGTAGAAAGACAAGAAAAGGGGGAAACAGGGACTCTCCACAAGGCCAGAGTCCCTACTAGAGTGCTTCCTGCCTCGCAGTTTAAATCCCAGTTTCCAGATAGAAAGAGGAGGGGCCAGGCTCCTCCCCAATGCAGAAAGCTCTACTTTTTGAGGCACCACCCCAGTGTACAGGCTGATTGGAGTTTTTCTGGGAACCTCTTTGCACTCGCCCATCTCACATATATATGTGTGTCTGTGTATGTGTGTATGTGTGTGCATGTATATATTATGTGTAGATATCTATATCTATAAATCTATATCTATGTCTTTATCTATATCTATATAATGGGAATGCCAGGAGGAGAAGAAAGAGAGAATGGATCAGACTAAATATTAGAAATAATAATTGAAAACTTATTTTCAAAAAATAAAACACCAAACCTCAGATCCAGCAATCTCAGAGAACAGCAAACAGGATAAGTATCTAGTAATCTACACAGAAGAATATTACATTAAACTTCAGAAATTCAGTGACAAAGAGAAAATCCTATTTTATGGTTTTTTTATTTTTATTTTTTGTGGAGACGAGGGCTTGTTATGTTGACCAGACTGGTCTCAAACTCCTGGCCTCAAGAGATTCTCTCACCTCACCCTCTCAAAATTCTAGGATTATAGGCATGAGCAATTATGCCTGGGCCAAGAGAAAATCTTAAAAGAAGTTGAGGGGAGTGGAAACCATTTTACACACACAGGAAAAGTGATAGAAATAACATGGAATTTCTTATCATAATGCATGGAAACAAGAAGAGAGTGAAGTGAAATATTTCAAATGTTGAAAACATAAGCACACCAATCTACAATTCTGTGTCCAGCAAAATTACTCTTCAAAAGATAAGAATAATTGTGATATTCATTACCTCAAACATTTATCATTTCTTTGTGTTGGGAACATTCAAAGTCTCCTTTCTAGCTATTTTGAAATATACTAGACATTCTTGTAAACAGTAGTCACTCTATTATGCCATTGAACACTAGAACTTATTCCTTCTATTTTAGCTGCACTTTTGTACCCATAAGCTGACCTCTCTTCATCCCCCATCCTTCCTACCCTTTCCAGCCTCTGGTGGCCACCATTCTATTCTCTACCTTTATGTGATTAATCTTTAGCTTCCACATATGAGTGAGAATATGCAATATTTGTCTTTCTGTGCCTGGCCTATTTCACTTAATGTCATTCAATTACATTCACACTGCTGCACATGACAGGATTTAATTATTCCTTATGACTGAAAAACATTCAATTTTTGTGTGTGTGTGTGTGTGTGTATATATATGTATATCATATTTTCTTTATCCATTAATCTGTGGATAGACACTTAGGTTGATTCCATCTCTTGGCTATTGTGAATAGTGATGCAATAAACAAGGTGGTACAGATACCTTTTCCGTATACTGATTTCAGCTGGGTATGGACACTCATGCCTGTAATCCCAGCACATTGGAAGACCAGGGTGGCAGGATTACTTGAGCTTAGCAGCTCGAGACCAGCCCGGGCAGCATAGTGAGACCCTGCTTCTGCTAAAAGTCTGGAAAAGACTTATTTCTCTTTCATTTATGAAGCTTAGTTTTGCAGGATGCAGAATTCTTGGCTGGCATTGTTTTTTTTCTTTGAGGAGGCTAAAAATAGACCCTCAGTATTTTACAGCTTATATGGTTTCTGCTAAGAAATCTGCAGGTAGTCTGATGGGATTTCCTTTATTGGTGATTTGACCCTTCTCTCTAGCTGACTTTAAAATTCTTCTCTTTAGCATTGACTTTCAATAGCCTAATGACTATATGCCATGGCAATGTTCATCTTTTATAGTATCTTGCAGGTATTCTCTGAATTTCGTATATATAGATGTCTACCTCTATAGCGAGATCAGATAAATTTTCATGAATTATTCCCTCAAATATGCTTTCCAAATTTCTTACTTTTTTTTCTCTTTCAGGAATGTCCATAAATCATAAGCTTGGCCATATTACATATTCCCATGTTTTTTGAAGGCTTTCTTAAGGCTTTTGACTGCATTTTAAAGTTTCTTTAGTGAATTTTTCATTTCCAGAAGTTCTGTGTTTTTTGTTTGTTTGTTTTGGGTTTTTTTTTTGTTTGTTTTTTGAGGCGGAGTCTCATTCTGTTGCCCAGGCTGGAGTGCAGTGGCGCTATCTCGGCTCACTGTAAGCTCCATCTCCTGGGTTCATGCCATTCTCCTGCCTCAGCATCCCAAGTAGCTGGGACTACAGGTGCCCGCCACCACGCCTGGTGAATTTTTTGTATTTTTAGTAGAGACAGGGTTTCACCGTGCTATCCAGGATGGTCTCGATCTCCTGACCTTGTGATCCACCTGCTTCAGCCTCCCAAAGTGCTGGGATTACAGGCATGAGCCACCACGCCCGGCCAGTTGTGTTTTTTTTTAATATAGCTATTTTGTCGTACATATCCTAAGTTATTTTTCTTGTTTCTTTAAGTTGATTTTCAAGTTTCTGCTGGATCTCACTGAGCATTTTTATAATCCATATTTTGAGTTTTCTATCTGTCACTTCAAAATTTTCATTTTGGTTAGGATCCATTGCTAGAGAACTAGTATGATCCTTTGGCGGGGTTGGGGTGGGGTGTAGCAATGCTATTTTTTTCATGGTTCCAGGGTTCTTATGCTGGTTCCTTCTCATCTGAAGAAGCTGTCACATCTTATTTTTGAATGTACTTTCATTTGGATGAGACTCCGTTCCTTGAGGTTTTGATTGTAGTATGTGTTGAGTAGGGTCCTTTAGTTTTCTTCTGAGTGCTGGTAGGGGGCCAAGACGCTGTATGAATTCCTTGGTTATAGATAACCTTAGTGTAGTGGTTTCTTCAAATGATGATTGTCTCTAGGTTGTAGTAGCAGTATACTGGACATGTGAGCAGGTTCACTGGATCCTTCAGAAACCAGAGGTAGAGGTCTCAGGAACTTTATCTCATTTCCCTGTACTGTGCACTTCTGTCAGCACGTAACACACTGGGCTGTATAGTTTGATCTCCAGGCCAGTAGATAGTGCTTGCGGATAAGAGCCAGCTAAGCACTGTGCAGTTGTGTTAGCAGAAATTGTGACGCAGCTTGACCTCACAGCCAGTAGGTGGTGCTTGCAGGAGAGGGTCAGCTGTGGTGGTGGCACTGGGATTTTTGCTTGGCCTTTGTTGGGAGCAGGCCCCCCAAAATCTGGCCATAAACTGGTACTAAAACTGGCCATAAACAAAATCTCTGCAGCACTGTAGCATGTTCATAATGTCCCTAACGCCCACGCTGGAAGGTTATGGGTTTACCGGAATGAGGGCAAGGAACACCTGGCCCACCCAGGGCAGAAAACTGCTTAAAGGCGTTCTTAAGCCACGAACAATAGCATGAGTGATCTGTGCCTTAAGGACATGCTCCTGCTGCAGGTAACTAGCCCAACCTATTCCTTTAATTCAGCCCATCCCTTCGTTTCCCATAAGGGATACTTTTAGTTAAGTTAATATATATAGAAACAATGCTAATGACTGGTTTGCTGTTAATAAATATGTGGGTAAATCTCTGTTTGGGGCTCTCAGCTCTGAAGGCTGTGAGACCCCTGATTTCCCACTTCACACCTCTATATTTCTGTGTGTGTGTCTTTAATTCCTCTAGCACTACTGGGTTGGGGTCTCCCCGACTGAGCTGGTCTCAGCAGGCCTTTGTTAATCAGAAGTGCTTAGGTGGCCTAGGCAGTGGACGGGTGGGAAATTCCCAGAGGTCAGCATACCATGCTGTGCCACTGAGGGAATTGGAGGGGACAAAGCTGAGCAGGGATGGGCTGGGCAAGCCCATGACCTGGCTCCCTAAGGTAGGTCAAATGTTGACCCTAGTGAGGGTCAAGGGACAGCTGTCAGATTGCTGGGGCAACCCTCCAGGGAGGGGTGGAGGAGCTTCTGCACCAAGGGGCCCACATGGGGATAGAGGGGTACCCTGAAATCTATAACCTAGCAGGCTGCAGTAGGACAAGCCCAGCTCCCACAGCCACAACTCAGT